ACATTACCCGGTACGTAATCCGGTAATGCTCAGACTAGTCGACTCCGTGTTCTCCGGTAGCTCACATGTTGTAAAACAATGAGCGTGAGTGGACTTGGGTAAGTAATTTTAGTTGGGATGGATTGCTTCGGTGGACGAGTGAGCATGTTCTCGTCCGGTAATGACTAGGTCACAGACCGTACTAGTAGAGTAGTACTAGTATGGTGTAGAGAAGAACGTGACGTAACAGAGCCAAGACAACCAACCAGCCAGCCAGCTACATACTGTGCCTCCTCTAGGATTTCAAACCAACCACGGCACCAGGTACACTTGTACACGTTCACTTGGCGCAACTCTTGCAACCCCGTCAGTCCCGGGTTCTTGTACATTCCAGTGCGGCTATTGTACATCAGGGAATCTTAGGTCCCTCTGATTGACTAACCCGGGTGGTCTTCTTCCAAGCTGGTCCAAGTACCCTCAAGGCAAGCGTGTCGCTGACGCGGCTGACCCGGTTTGGGATCAGAAACTGGCTGTAAATAAAGTCTGACAGTCTGCCATTTACGGTACATGTATTTGACCATTCCTGCGGAGGTTTGTAAAATATCATTCTTTGGAAAACCACGGAGGTGATCGTGGACACCGGCAGAGACTAGGGCGAGAGGTGGATAGCTTGGTCGGTCAATACTCTCAGTGGTCGAACTCCCTTTTATCGTGTGACAATAAGCCAAACTCAAGACTGAATGGGAACACGAAATGCTTTCAAACCCTTTTTTGACATCACCCCCGTAGTGTGTGCCATGACTCTGGTCGCACAGCTACAGACTGTCTGAAACTGCACAAGAACTTCTTTTTTTAGTCCTAAGTCGCGCCCCGCCGTGCTCATTCTTCATGCAAGCCTACTACTAGTACTACTAGTACTAGTAGTGTAGTAGTGTAGAGCTTGCCTTGTCCGCGCGCGCCGCGTGGCGAGTGGTTGTCAATTTTGTTATTGCCATGGAAACGAATCATTGGTTGCCATTTTTATTTTTGTAACGTGCGTGATCTAAGGCTAGGAGGCTACTACCCACAGTCAGTCAACCAACGTATCTGAACTTACTCCGGCACGGCCTGGAGGTTATCTTATATCAAAGTGAAAGTGAACTTGCTCTCTCTCAACCACGACTCTCTCTCCTCTCTCTTCTCTGATCTCTCTCTTATGAGATGCAAAACTAGAGAACTTATATAGAATCTAACAAGGCCGTTGGCAAGGGGGCCAGCTAGGAAGCTTCAGCTGGTGTCTATTGCGGGAAACAAGCAGCAGGCAGCAAAACAGCTAAAGAATGTATGTGATAGTGTAGCAAGCAATCTGGAAATGCCATTGATTACTCGCAGCGCGCATCAGTGCTACAAAGGAAGCATTGGAGCATGAGGCTGATATCGCAGTGCAGATAAGTCCATACAACTGCACAAGGACCTCTTGCAAATGAAGCATAGCGGCACAAGTATTGTATTTTGGAAACAATGAAGACTACTGATAATTAGTGTTGGTCTAGCTACTCTCCAGTGTGTAGTGGCGCCATGCAAGGATCATGGAAGAACAATCGTAAATGTAGGAAGTACTGTATGCTTCTAAACAATAAGAGTCATGCAAAATACATGTACTACTAGTCATGTGTAAACTGTAAAGCAGGGATACTACACCCTCCCTTCCTACACTAAATCACGCCCTCGTGATTTGACAACGAGTTCGGTGTTGTATGCTGAGCACTACTCACTGGAAGACACCGTCAGTAGGTGGACTGGACAACTAACTTGCATTCACGTACATGTATTCTTGAATCTTGAACAGAGTGCTTGATATTCGGACGAAAGGGTGACAACTGACACTAGTAGGAGTAGTAGTAGTAGTAGTAGTAGCTCGAGCTCAGCAGCAGATCATAGGAGGCGGTGTGAACGTCATAGTAGATAGTGTATTACTTGCAGAGCGTCAACCGGAATATGGCAAATAATATCGGAAATGATAACGTTTTTAGAGTAGACAGAAGAACTGAACTGATAAGAAATCAAAATAGAAGCACATCAGGTTCTCACCATCTCACGGGGTCAAAAAGGGAATATTGTCCTCCAAATAGGACCTTAGAAAAAACCACAGTTGACTTGCTGCACAACCCTGGCACAACCTGCCAGCCAAATCGCAGTACCAAGCCGAACTGAGTACACAAGGGCATTCGCACACACATTGTCCCAGGTTAGCTAGGTAGACCGTGGCTCACCATGATCGGACGCCTACCGGACTAAACTGGATTCACTCTCTTGCATAAAGGAAGACTGAAGAGAACAGAAAGACTGAAGGAAGACAGGAAAGAGAATGCCATATCGGGAATTAGCTTACATTGGACATGGAGCTTGATCGGTAGAGACGCTGTCCGTCATCATTTCGGGCTAGGGGGAGACGTGGCGGGCGAAGGAGTAGCGGCGACAGACGCATCAGGTTGGGCCATGCTGGTACCGGTTATACCAATAAACAATTTACCGCTGCCATCAATTCTGTAGCGCCGCTGCCATCAATGCAATACAGATACCAGGATACTAGGTGGGTTCGAATCTAGCAATTATAAAATTGAACCACCGCTGCCGCCAATGTAACGTGCGTGATCTAAGGCTAGGAGGCTACTACCCACAGTCAGTCAACCAACGTATCTGAACTTACTCCGGCACGGCCTGGAGGTTATCTTATATCAAAGTGAAAGTGAACTTGCTCTCTCTCAACCACGACTCTCTCTCCTCTCTCTTCTCTGATCTCTCTCTTATGAGATGCAAAACTAGAGAACTTATATAGAATCTAACAAGGCCGTTGGCAAGGGGGCCAGCTAGGAAGCTTCAGCTGGTGTCTATTGCGGGAAACAAGCAGCAGGCAGCAAAACAGCTAAAGAATGTATGTGATAGTGTAGCAAGCAATCTGGAAATGCCATTGATTACTCGCAGCGCGCATCAGTGCTACAAAGGAAGCATTGGAGCATGAGGCTGATATCGCAGTGCAGATAAGTCCATACAACTGCACAAGGACCTCTTGCAAATGAAGCATAGCGGCACAAGTATTGTATTTTGGAAACAATGAAGACTACTGATAATTAGTGTTGGTCTAGCTACTCTCCAGTGTGTAGTGGCGCCATGCAAGGATCATGGAAGAACAATCGTAAATGTAGGAAGTACTGTATGCTTCTAAACAATAAGAGTCATGCAAAATACATGTACTACTAGTCATGTGTAAACTGTAAAGCAGGGATACTACATTTTCATGGGAACAATGATGTTATGTGCGCATGTTATGTAGCGCTCGCCGCTCTGCCGCTGGCTCTGCATCTGGCTTTGTTTGACTTCGACTCGTTTGAGTTTGAGCTTTGATTTCGAGTCGGCAAAGAAACGCAGCCGGCCACTTAGTCTGTACTGTGTCAGCTTCTACTTTGTACCAGGTCCCCAAACCAGGCTTGTTTTACTTTTAGTCACAGCCACCGTTCCGAGCCACTTCTGGGGGTTAGGTACTACTACTATTAATTTTAATAATAAGTATTATTGTCGTAGGTGAAGTGGAAGGACCCGGTGTGTTAGTTGTGTGTCAAGTACCATTGCATTACCAGTAGTGGCAGTAGTCAGAATGCTGTACTTGACTAGTACATAATTGTACTACTGTACTGTAGTGGTAGATCTACGTCTTGTACTTGTAGCAGTCAACAACCATGGCCTGGGGCTTCGTCCAGTCGACGATTTATTTTTGAAATGTAGTTGCTGGGCGGCCTGGTCATGTTACATGCTGGCATGGTTACGGCAGACCATCAATGGTACAAGTATATTCGGTAAGATGGCTTTACATCGTAACTAGTTCATTCAAACGTCCGTTTCTAGCTTGCGTACATACATGATTGTACATGTACATGTACATGTATACCCTCACGGAAAATGGGAAAATCTTCAAAATTTCCTTCAGCCTCGTGCCGCAAACGTTAGGAGTCTTTTACTCTACAGACCGTTCTACAGTCGTGGACATCGAAATCAAAAGAGTTGACTGGGCCCGCGCACCCTTACTGCTTTTAGCGTGTACTGCTTTACTGAGTTACACAAAAATGAAGAAAGAACATTTTTTGGAGTGAATAGAATTGACTCTCCAACGTTGGATTCGAACCAGCAACCCAAAGAAAAGTGAAAAATGAAAATTCTGTTGTGATTATGATGTTGTGGACATTGAAATCCAGTTGAATGACCTGGACCGGAGCCCTGCCTCCCTTACCGTTCTAGCGTTCACCCACTGTAGTTAATTAAAGGGGAAGTGAAGCCTAGAATCAAATTTTAACCAGTTGTAGTCTTCGGGGTGCTGAGTCGAATGGTCTTGGTCCGAGGAAGCTGAAACGCTCCAATCCTCCTTTATTCCTAATCTAACTCGCGCACTTCCACCGAAACTGGGTGACTGTGCCCTACTAGATGGGGATTTGTATGCAAAATGTCACTAAAAGCGCCATTTCGTTCTTATAAAGGCACGGATGACCGCGATTGGCCCATACGTTGTACTCTTCCTGAGGCTGAGTCGACTGGTTTTGTTCCGAAAAGGCTGCTATGCAGCGTTCGGTCCTTATTCCCAATCGAGCACAGTTGAATACCGTATTTCCTCGATTATAATTCGCACCTTTTTACACTAAAAATCAAGGGTGAAAAAGGGGTGCGACTTACAATCGAGCATGACTTACTACTGAAGTCAATATAGCAAAACAATATGGCTCAAACCTGGAAATGGGGGTGCGACTTATAATCGAGTGTGACTTATATTCGGGGAGATACGGTAAGCGGTTTCGTGCTCATGCGTACACAAGTCACCTGGTCACCGTGCCTGCAGGGTACAACTTACAGCCTGTTTGGTCGCGTTCCTGTCACTCGAGTTCAACGTTGGTGTGAAAGTTGTGTGCTGCAATGTGTGCTGTAATGTACACACTGTAAAGAAGGACGAGCACTACTCATAACAAGAATTCATTTTTCTCCATGTGTTATTGCAGTCAACACGTGGCTCGATTGCAGCGGAGACGGCGGTAACGAAGTATATGTCAGCACCACCCAGGAAACGTGGGTTGCTGGCGAGCATTTCTGCCAAGGTCAAGGCAGCCATCTCGCCAGCTTTCCCCAGATCACGGCATGCAAGTCAAGTTTACTGCCGTTGCTTGGTCATGTAAGAGTCCACACCAGCTACACCAAATTGCTGGATGGACTTCACTACCGTGATATTGGAAACAAACTGCAATTGTCGGACACCGTTGTCGACTTCAGTCGCGGTGCCGACAATTGCAGTTTTACGTTTCTGGGAGACGAATTACCGCCGGAGGACAATCAGTGCTCATCCACCCTCCATAGAGTCGTCTGCGGACGAACTCACGGTAAGATATCTTTATAGTTTGTATCTTTACAGAAAATTACAGAGGATCTATTCTTTTGCTTGAGGTCTTTAAGTTGCTGTAGCGATAAATAGTATTAGTGAAGCTCAACTTTATATTCCGCACTCTCCTGTAGACGTATAAGCTAGTTTGTTCCCCGCATATGTTCTGTTGTGAGACAACTTTTCCTTTTCCTATTTTTGAGGATAGTCTCAAGAAAATCGATAAGGACAATTTACTCACCATATATTCTCTTTGTTCTTTGCGTAATGTCCGCTTCACTAATGCTATTTATTGCTATAATGCAGTTATTATTTCCGGGTCGCCTATTCATAAGTTGTTTGACAGTTTTTCATTATTCCCTGTAACAGTAACCACCCGAGATGAAAAGGGAATGATAATGTCCGGTTACAAAATTGTTTTTACTTGACTGTATGGATTGTGTCAGTGCTGACACTTCTTGTGAAATATCATTACAGGTTGTAATTTTAAAATTGGCCCAACATCAATTTCAGTACATTCATTCTTGAGGTCGCCGAGTCAAAATGGTGTTTTGCTTTAGGTAGCTGCTTTTACATACTTTTAAAGTTTAAGCCACTGGAATTCACTTCTTTCTCCAAAGAACGGGGAAGAGTGAGTCATACGTGTGATAAATTGTACTGGGTGCAACATGTATGGTGGCACTCTCATAAGAAATTATTCTTTTATGCGCATTCCAGTATGGGCGGCTTTCGAACGGTTAAAGTGAAGTGCGTAACGATGAAATGATCGTATTATTTCTCCTGTTGTATTGCCGTGTAGCTAATATGGACCCATCTACAGTGTGCGGATCGTACAAATTCACGTATCACAGCATCTCGTTCTCAGCTGACGATGCAAACCGGACGTGTCGCCAACGGTATGGTGGTTGGCTGTTGTCCACCAACATGCAGCAGGTCAGCTGCGTCTCTCAGCTCCTGAATTCGTCTCAGGGGCTGAGAGACAACAACGCCACCACCATACCCCTCTACACCAGCGGCACGACCGGGTCAGCTGAGTGCGAGGTGTATTCGCCATCAAGGCCGGCAGTACTTCCAGACTCCTGCACCGCAGCCAGGCCGACCGTCTGCGTGTCTCGTACGTTTCCTGTGGAGTTACTCTCAAGTGATACTCTGTGTATGTGTGGGACCAATTTTTGCTAAGAAAGTCTTATTGAGTCCAGCAGAGTACTTATTCAAACAGACTGCAAGGTCTACTTGGCACGACGTAGCCCATATGACAAGCAGCACTATTACCTGAATTATGCCGGAACACTATTCTACCCCAAAGCTATGCTCTATGTTTGCCTTGATTTGCCATGTCTTAGTCTTGTAACTCTTGTTCGTAGCCGCTGGATTAATAAGAATTGCATTTTTCCTGCTGTGTAACATGTTTATTGCTATTGAGTGCAATGTGTTTCTGTGTTCAGTGTTACAGTGTAATGTGTTCCTGTGTGTAATGATACAGGGTACTGCAACGGCAGCGACAACTTGGTGGCGGTACGAAATGAAGACCGGTGTCAGTGCAGACCCGGTTATATCCGTACATCCGCACACAGCTGTAAGTGATATGATCTTGCCTGACATCCTCGCATGCTACAACACACTCTCTACCGTTGCCCTGGATATGAAAACCTATGTTCTATTGCACACCATAGTACATGTTAGCGAGAGTGGCTTGCTATAATGATGTACAGTGAAGCTCACATTCACGACAGAGGCGTTACACACCGTATGACCAGTGCGATCTTGGTCGTACCATTTTTCGTCCCGGATGGTCTGCCCAGAGCACCTGTAGAGCTCTAAAACGTACCCTGTTGACGAAGATAGACACCCCCAACCCCCGGTCGTACCACTCTCCACTGTCCTGTGACACCCCTGCACGGTATTCAGATGTTCTGCTGCTCTATTGCCAGCTCACGTCGCTTCGAATGCACTCTCAGCCAGGAATGATGTGACGTAAAAGAGCTGCCTGGCTTTCCCACTGTCTGCAGCTCTAGATAGGTATACAGTCATCTCTCTCTTATCCCGACCTCCAAGTTACGGGAACCTCGGTCCACATGGCAGCCACTGGGCGAGTTTCAGTCCACATGGCAGTCACGGGGCGAGTTTCAGTGGAAATATTACTACTCTTTTTCCGAATTTTGGTGGAAATAGTGACGTCATATGCCATATTTATGGCCTTTCCCAATCTATATGAACGTGATTGAGAGTTTCTTGTACATTTCCAAGTTATGGCCAGTGACTGGGCAGTGGGCCAGTGACTGGGCCCGGACTGCCTGGAGAAGAGACTCGGACATGAGTGTTCCGTTTCCAATTTTAAATCACTGTACATCGGTACACTGTCAGCTGGGAATATGTGGACTGATGCAACTATTCGGATTTAAAAAGGTGTGGAATATAGTCGCCGAGTGTGAATAGCAAATGAATAGAGCGGTTGTCAGTTGACAAAAACTCTCTTTTTTATAATGCAGTCACGTGATGGCCACCACTTTCTTAGTGATACTCTAGTAGGTGAATCTAGTAGGTTCTATCTTGTTCAACCCCCTAACCTTCTTCAACACCCCCCCCCCCCCCTCCCCCGGTGGTTATTGGCATGATGTGTTATCAAAGAGCTACGAGAAGTACTAGATAGTTCCTAACCTATCCAGCGTGCAGTGCACTACACCCCTCCCCCCAATCCATTATCCTCCTTTACCGTACAGTAATGGTGACATAATTCGGATAGATCACGTGCTAAAAGGATAGAGTGTACAGTGCAGTCGCATGTACAGTATATTAAGCCTGCCTACGCCCACTGCTCCATGGACATTCAAAATGTGATCCCTGTGCACAGATGTGATCCCTGTGTACAGATGTGATCCCTGTGTACAGATGGTCTCCTAGTCCATTTGACTGCACATCCCTTGGAACTAGTTGTATGTGCTGGTCCTCTGCGACAGGTGTTCACCTTATGAGAGTGGTCATATAATCAGAGTGGTCCTCCGGGACAGGTGGTTACATAATCAGAGTGGTCCTCCAGGACAGGTGGTCACATTATCAGAGTGGTCCCATTATCAGAGTGGTCCTACAGGACAGGTGGTCACATTATCAAAGCGGTTCCCTGGGACAGGTGGTCACATTATCAGAGTGATCACCTTATCAGAGTGGTCCCCTTATCAGAGTGATCACATTATCAGAGTGGTCACCACAGCAGAGTGGTCACCTTATCAGAGTGGTCCCCTTATCAGAGTGATCACATTATCAGAGTGGTCACCACAGCAGAGTGGTCACCACAGCAGAGTGGTCACCACAGCAGAGTGGTCACCACAGCAGAGTGGTCACCACAGCAGAGTGGTCACCACAGCAGAGTGGTCACCACAGCAGAGTGGTCACCACAGCAGAGTGGTCACCACAGCAGAGTGGTCACCACAGCAGAGTGGTCACCACAGCAGAGTGGTCACCACAGCAGAGTGGTCACCACAGCAGAGTGGTCACATTAGCAGAGTGGTCACCACAGCAGAGTGGTCACCACAGCAGAGTGGTCACCACAGCAGAGTGGTCACCACAGCAGAGTGGTCACCACAGCAGAGTGGTCACCACAGCAGAGTGGTCACCACAGCAGAGTGGTCACCACAGCAGAGTGGTCACCACAGCAGAGTGGTCACCACAGCAGAGTGGTCACCACAGCAGAGTGGTCACCACAGCAGAGTGGTCACCACAGCAGAGTGGTCACCACAGCAGAGTGGTCACCACAGCAGAGTGGTCACCACAGCAGAGTGGTCACCACAGCAGAGTGGTCACCACAGCAGAGTGGTCACCACAGCAGAGTGGTCACATTAGCAGAGTGGTCACCACAGCAGAGTGGTCACCACAGCAGAGTGGTCACCACAGCAGAGTGGTCACCACAGCAGAGTGGTCACCACAGCAGAGTGGTCACCACAGCAGAGTGGTCACCACAGCAGAGTGGTCACCACAGCAGAGTGGTCACCACAGCAGAGTGGTCACCACAGCAGAGTGGTCACCACAGCAGAGTGGTCACCACAGCAGAGTGGTCACCACAGCAGAGTGGTCACCACAGCAGAGTGGTCACCACAGCAGAGTGGTCACCACAGCAGAGTGGTCACCACAGCAGAGTGGTCACCACAGCAGAGTGGTCACCACAGCAGAGTGGTCACCACAGCAGAGTGGTCACCACAGCAGAGTGGTCACCACAGCAGAGTGGTCACCACAGCAGAGTGGTCACCACAGCAGAGTGGTCACCACAGCAGAGTGGTCACCACAGCAGAGTGGTCACCACAGCAGAGTGGTCACCACAGCAGAGTGGTCACCACAGCAGAGTGGTCACCACAGCAGAGTGGTCACCACAGCAGAGTGGTCACCACAGCAGAGTGGTCACCACAGCAGAGTGGTCACCACAGCAGAGTGGTCACCACAGCAGAGTGGTCACCACAGCAGAGTGGTCACCACAGCAGAGTGGTCACCACAGCAGAGTGGTCAGCACAGCAGAGTGGTCACCACAGCAGAGTGGTCACCACAGCAGAGTGGTCACATGATCAGAGTGGTCAGCACAGCAGAGTGGTCACCACAGCAGAGTGGTCACCTTGACAGGTTTTACTGCAACCTGTAATGTTGTGACTCAGTCTGGCTATGCTATGCTATGGTATGCTATGGTATTGGTATTGATTTATTTGAATTCGGTATCTCAACAGTACAATGTACAACTTGGGAATAACGTCACAATGTGCAACTATGTCAGGTAATATTCACCATGTCACGTGACTGAGTGCACTGTATTGCACTGCCCTACGTGCTGGTTCTCGTGCAGGTGAATCCATCACCGAGCTACTAAGTTCTACTGGACAAGCAGCAGTGAGTTCAAACATCACTGTGTTTAGCTGGTTAGAATCAGAGTGGAAAGTAGACAGTGTGTACACACAGAATACACTTTACCAGCTGGATAATCTCTCCTTATCTGAAGGGACATTTGCCATCAGATCTGCTGGCCGGATCATCTACACGTCCTCCACTTCTCTTCAGCAAGGTAAGACAATACTTGTGTATTTTGTCCTGTCAACACGGCGACTCAGCTCGCTGATGTAGCAGGAACCTACTATTGCCAAGGTCGGATGCTGTTAAGTAAAGTTTCTACTCTAGCGGCCGCAATCCTCCTGGCACAAAACAGATTTGATTCTACAACAAGCAAAGAACTTGCTTAGGGGACAAACGCTCTTTATCGGCGAGCTGTTAAAACAGGGTTCACAATGTAGCCTTTTATGACACATTGTGCATGAGAAATATATAAATGGGTCATGAAACCTGCTGGTCTACTTACTACTCTATCTTGTATCTATCACGTGACAAATGATGTCCTACAGCCACTGCAAACCAAGACCATTTCACTCACAGATTCTTCCAAACCCTATTTTTTCACCTGCCTCGGGAGTTGCCCGAGGACTGTCTAGTTATGCAATAGATGCTGACTGTATGGTATCGGTTTGCTCATCTCTATCCCTGTGGTATCATCAAGTGATGATTAGTTATATTGAATAAGAATAATGCAATGAAGGACTGTGAGAACGACTCGTCAGGAAACTGCCAAGGAAAAGACTGAACAGCAACAAGAGATAAGCACTAGCATGCACTGTAGATTATGGGCACGGAGTACATGTACACACATGCATGCATAGTATCAAGAGAAATATGCTGTAAGGTCGTACGCACGTCCATGCAAGGAGATGCAGTACAATAATAAGAAACATGAGAGTGCAATTATGTACGATGTACACGGGTACACCACAATCCCTCCCACTGCCTCTCTCTCTGTCTGTCTCTCTGTGTCTGCCTGTCTCTCTCTTTCTCTGTCTCTCTCATTCTGTCTCTCTGTCTATCTGTCTGTATGTATGTCTGTCTGTCTGTCTGTCTTTATCTCTCTCTCTTTCTCTTTCTGTGTCTCTTTATCACCGTCTCTTTTTCTCTCGTACTACAGCTGACACGGTTGCAGCAGAGCTGGCCAATAATCCATCCCAATTCTTCACCGTGAACGCTAGTTTTCATGAGTTCCTGATGCCCACACCCCATTTGCGCAGCTACTTGGTCAACTTAAGCCTCTGGTTTAGGCCGCACCAAATTGAGTGTATTTATATCACTAATGCAAACCAGTCAAACGTCTGTAGTTACAGTGTGTTCAATGAGTCAGTCCAGTTCAAGGATGGCCTGTACGAGTTTGCCCTGTCTCCACACAACTCTACACTGCTAAGTATACCTGTTCTATACAGAGTTCACCCAAGACCCACTACCACTGTAACTATGATGACCAGCATGCCTTGTAAGTATTCAGTGTGTTCATGATAGGATGATGTGACTTGCAGTGTATGAATCTCCACACATCCCAGTACCAGTGATCTACACATCCCAGTACCAGTGATGCACACATCCCAGTACCAGTGATCCACACATCCCAGTACCAGTGATCCACACATCCCAGTACCAGTGATCCACATGTCCCAGTACCAGTGATCCACACATCCCAGTACCAGTGATCTACACATCCCAGTACCAGTGATGCACACATCCCAGTACCAGTGATCCACACATCCCAGTACCAGTGATCCACACATCCCAGTACCAGTGATCTACACATCCCAGTACCAGTGATCCACACATCCCAGTACCAGTGATCTACACATCCCAGTACCAGTGATCCACACATCCCAGTACCAGTGATCCACACATCCCAGTACCAGTGATCCACGTGTACATGCAACAAACAAACATGACTATTAATTTTGTATTCTCGCTCATAAATCTGGTTTAGTTGGTGGACTCATTTATCATTCGTTTGAGGGAAAGATGCAGATAGGAAAAATCTGAAGAAAAATCGACTGTCACCACCAGTACTCAAACCAGGGACCAGGGACCTTTCTTTAGACTAAACATGATCTGCTGTGTCCTGCTCTTGTCACCTTGTATACATTTCCAGCGCCAACCACTATTTCCACGTCAATGTTATCTGGTAACTAATGGAACGGAAGCGATGGCCCACCAGTCAATGGCAGCATCACTGGTTTGTACCCTGGTATTGGAGCGGCAGTGGCCATACTGGCCGCACTCTTTCTGATAGTCTGTGTAGTGCTGGTGATACGTTGTCGGAAGGGTAAAGTCAATCTCGCAGCTCAGAGAACGGGTAAGAAAGAAGGCACAACATAATTTGCATGCATACACAAAGCGGATTTGCAGATGATTTGCAAAAGTGGCTGGGTGACAGCTTTCTTCTGCAGTTTTATATATGATTGTGTTGCCTGATGATCGTAGTAATACGTGAAACTCAGAGTTGTAACAAAGCTTCCAAACTCTCTCTCTTGTGTATTTATATTTATATTTATTACAACATCTCAAGACTCGGTGGAAACACCGGCCAATGTGAAGAGAGTGGGTGATTGCCAACCACGGTGATAAATAAAAGTAAGGGGAGGGAAAAAGAAAGAGTAGCAAAATGAACAGCAACAACAACTCAGTTTACGCGTTGGACATTGAACATCCTCCTGGGTTTTTTTAGAACTGTTTGATATCCGTGCTTCAACAATTTGTTCAGAAGGCACCATGTTTTACAGGTCAGCGTCTTCATCTTCACATAGCCATTCTGTGAAGAATGAATCTCAGTAAACTCAAACACATTCGGAAGCCGCGGGGAAACCTACCTAAACATACTGTTTGAATGCAATACGGGTGAGACGGCACTGCCCGAATGCTAGACTGCTTGGGCACTTCGTCATACCAGCATGTCAAAATAATAGTGGCACATGGAGAAGCCCCAAGGCAATGGTGAAAATCCTCTTGTACCGGCAAATCCTGTGTTGCCATGACGGCAACTGAAACCCAAGACAAATCTGAAAAGATGGCAAGTACAAACAATTGGCGGTGCAGGAAAATCACCAAACGTAAACACAAATATAATGTTGAAGCATGGTTGCAGGAGACAAACTACAAGTAAGCAAGCAACGCATACAAAGAAACAATCAACACAGTTAATATCGTCTAGGCCGCTGACCTGGACAGGCAGCGGTGCAAGAAGCCGTGGTCTCGCCTACGGCCATACGACCCCGTGCACCCGCGGAAGCATGCTATGGCCCAACGGAGCAGAGTAAAAGACCCCAAGGCAATGGTTGTAACACTCTCGAGTACCTGCTGTAATGAATATGGGTTCAGGGGGGGGGGGGGGGTCGGGGGGTCGCTTGCACACAAATGTTCTTTGTCCTTGTATTGTGTGTGTGGGTGTCAGTGCTCAAACACAGTGGCGTGTTCATGTCCACTTGTATGTGAATATGCGTGGGTGTTTGTGTGTGTGTGTGTGCGTGGGTGTTTGTGTGTGTGTGTGTTTGTGTTTGTTTGTTTTGTATGTGTTTATGTGTGTTTTAACGTCACGACCGTTGGAAGCTGCTGACGAGCTGTTGGAAAGGGATTGGCAAGGCAACAGCACAAACCTGCTTTACCTGTCAATCAGGTGCAGTACCATCTCATCTCTTACAGCGCCAGCATACACTGCTTCAAGTCAGGTACATGACTGGAGAGTCATATTCATCCTGAGCTATTCTCTCCCCCCCCCCCCCCATTTACCTTTAAGAGTATCTCAATACCAAATAATTCGTCCAAAGATAAGTCTACAGAAAGGTCCAATGCTATAAAACAGGAAAGTCTAACGAGTCACAAAGTCTCACGTTTTAACTTTTAACGACCAATTATTTTTCGTTATTCGAAAAAAGGTTATGGCTAGATGTCTGTGTGAAGATGCGTATACAGATATGTGGCTAGGTAGCCATCGTTAAACTTTCTGCACGTAATCATGCCAAAATTACAAAAACGTTTTAAAACTTTTTCGTCGTTAAACCATGCGATTTTACAGTAAGTTACGAGTCATACCTGACAGTCTACCAAGGCAACGAGACGTTAGTGGACTGGTATTCATAACTTGCAGCTTGTTAGTCCTTTTTCTCAACTTATAATAAATATTGGCTCAACATGCGAGGTTCACAGTATCTCTCTGTAGATGTACGGAGCAGCAAATAACCATTTATTAGAGGGTGGGGCTTGGGCATCATCTTTCAGTATACTACTCTTAAGAAATAAAACCGAGTTTGTGGACATTTTGTGTGACTTCTCCATACGGTCGGTGTACTCTGCTAGATAGCTTTGCATAGCCCACTACCATGCTCTAGGTCATACAGATAGGCCTCCTGTTTAGAGGAACATACCTTCACAGCAAATTCCAGCCTTTGCACCCACTGCAGTCCGCCATAGCCTTTCGCAGACGTTGAATTTCAAGTAAACGTCCTTGTGAGCATGATGAAATAACAAAATTGGTCCGAAGATTTCTCTGTTTTGGAGTTTCATGCCGAGCAGGAAAAAAGTTTATAGGGGGCATTTGGGCACATTTCTCCTGTACAATATCATTTGTTTTCGGAACTAGGAGATTTCAATCAAAACCACGATGAAAAAGAAAAGAAAAACTGTGCTCAAGCTTAAACCAACGAGGGACGGAAAGTCATAATATTTTCACTCAGGACCTGCACAGAAGGATGCTGGGAAGACCAGTTTGTGACTTCGCATTGAGCTGCCATAAGTTCATTCATATTAACTCTCTATTTTTCCGTGTTGTTGTGGGTTTGATAAAGGAGTCAACCGCTACAGCCACCAGCGCTGAGACATCCTCGTCGAACTCTTCTCCGATTCCCAATTACGACGATGTAGGGATCCCGGCACCTAGCTCCAAAACTGGACTATCTACCGGGACCACGTCGGCAACACCGGACTCCGCCGATGAGGTATGTTAGTATTACTCGATGCCTCTTTTAAAATGTTCTTGACTCCGTAGCTGTCTAGTGCTCCAGCACCCTATATTAGGTAAGGACCAATAGTCAGTGGAATTGCCTCATTAATACTCTGCAGCAACCACCTTCCTATAGGGCTTGAAGGTGATGACGTCAAAACGTTAAGGGTGTAGTAAGTTGACATCAGATTTCTACTTTTGGATCCACTAAGGTTTGACTTTGCTATTGCTTCAGTATGTGGGTGCATAGCAACCCACTCATGTCGCATGCAGGTGTGACTTTTTCCTTCACCAGCAGTGGCTACCCTGCCCCCAGTAGCCAAATCAGTCAGTTTCACTGGCTACATCACCTTGTTGTGAGTACGACCGCTTGAAATGTGCTTGGATTCATACAAAAACTGGATCCAAGTGGATCCAGTTTGAATTTTAGAAATTGTAGCTATGCTGTGACGTGGCACTTTCAAGCCCTATTGTTCTCTTTTGTCCTTTTCATGTTCTCCAGGGGTTTTCCCTTTCCTGATGGGGCGGTGTGATTGAAGTAAAAAAAAACGAAAAAAATTAATTATATGGATTATAGACTCGGATACGGAGGCAATGATTAATTTACAGCAAAGAAAGGGATCAAGGACCAAGGACCCTATACACATTATAGACATTATAGCGGAACTTGTAGTTCCTTGGTTCTTTTCTTTACTATAAATAAGACTTACCGTAATACGGGAATATACTGGCACCTTTCAGCTATTGGCATACTTTGGCAAAGCCAGCACAACTAAGAAAATTTAAGGCTCTGGCGAGTTTTCCGCAACCGTAGGAACGACACCACCCTCTAGAGTCAAGGCGCAGATGCAGCTCCTAAAGCGGTGGGAGGTGAGTAGATCAGACCCACCACAAAGTGGTCCAAGACCAAAAATCAGTCTCAGTGACTATTTTGTCTCAGTGACTATTTTGTCTCAGTGACTATTTTGAAGTAGCAAAATGTATCTACAGTCAGTTTTAAAAAGATTAGCAATCCTGGCGATCGCCCGCGGAGTTTGCCGTCTTACCGTATGAGCGCTCGAGCGCTGCCTGGAAAAACTCACTGTGAACTCGAAGAAATATTCCGCGCGAAAGCATGAAAAATGACAACTCACTCAGGTCGATGTCGGTACAGTCGTGTACGTCTGGTTCACAACAAACGAGTTCTTCCTCGTATCGATTATGGAGTCAGAGAGGACATGTCGAAAGTGTAGTAAATGCCAAGGCTGACGAGCGGCATGGGTCCCAATATGTTTTGTGACCAAATAGTTTCTTTGAGCTGCGATGCAATTTTACTCTCACCATGTGACGAAAACGACATCGACACAGACTCATTCCCAAGGCCATGACTTGGCGAAGCTATCCGTATGACTTCGACAACATTTTGAGAAAAGCAGACGCCTGTGGAAGCTGATAGAAGACGGCGTTGACTTCTAAATTCAAATAAATTGGCGATCTTGAAATACTAAAATAATTCTCAAAAAGGAATCGATCGATCGATGTGCCGGTGTATTCAACACGTAGCTACAGCGCAATGACTTCCGTATTCACTCACACCGTTTCAGTGTTGTGGGTGTGTTTTATTATTATGGAGTTGGCTTTATTTCACTCACGTTGTCATGACATGAGGTAAGAACCCCATCACCGGGCCAAAAGAGACCAAGGGTAATGAGAAAAAAAAATAGATAAATGGCCAACGCAATGAAGACCGAAGCAAAAAGGATTGTAAAAACCAAAGCAAAAATATTGAAAGCCGACGCAGAAACTGAGAGACGGACAGAAATAAGCAGAACGATGGAGGAGGCCAGGATATATTCGAATACAAAAAGATGGAGGAGGACAGGACATATTCGAATACAAAAAGAGTAATCACAAAAATGGACTACCAGTACAGGAATAGAAATAAAGGAAGAGATGAATGCCGGACATACTCAAATGGCAAGAGAAAAATCAGGTTGTGAGGACCGTCATACTGCACATTCATGGACGTCAAAGCAAATGCGGTATTGGAGGTTTATACGGACTAGCTCTACCCGTAACATGAGGAGCCTAATGCCGAATGCCAAGAACGGACTTGACAATGTTCAGCGTGCCCAGGATAGCACATTGCTGAGCCCTTTCAATGCGCAGAGTGCCTGCCAATGCCAACACAAAGTGTGACAGGGACACACCAGTCAGTCCACCAAGCGCCCCAACAACCAGGGGCACAACGCGGACATCATCCACATGCCAGATGCGCCGCAGCTCTTGGCAAAGGGGAGCGTACTTTGTTATTTTTTCGGCGATTTTTGTGGGAACATTCTGGTCCAATGGAACACTGACATCCATCAGCAGCACCTGTGTGCTGGACCGCAACACCAGGTCTGGACGGTTGTGGCGCACTTGCGTATCCGTTGGGATATTGAACTCCCACAGGAGCTTCATGTCAAGATTCTCGGTGACAGGCACAAGATGATGCTTCAGCGGGTTGCTTCCCGGCCGACCCAGACCATGCCGCTTGCATAGTGCCCAATGCACCAACTTGACGAGCGTGTCATGCCGTTCGATATACAGTGTTTTGGCTAGGGCTGGGCAACAGGCCACAATGTGATCAACTGTTTCTCCGCGAGTGCCGCAAACTCGACAAATGTCCACAACGTCTCCCCGTCCAATGACCGTGACCTGATAGTGCCTGGTCGCAATGGCCTGATCCTGTACAGCCAGCAAGAGTCCCTCTGTCGCAGGCCTGATCGTTGGCGATTTCAGCCAGCGAAAACTCAAGCCCAGGTCCAAGCCAGCATCAGAAGCTCGTCTCCAGAACTGGCCATGGAGAGGCTTACCTTGGATAACGGCCAGGCACCGGAGAGCAACGGCCTTCTTGACAATGACTTTTGTGGCAGTCTCCAAGTCGGGTAGGTCAAGTTCACCCAGAAGTCTGGAGGCTTGACGTGTAACTGATTTTGACGGTGCCACATCATTGTCGTGATGGCGCTTAACAGCAGCCAACAGTGGCACGTTTGGGTGGGCTTGTAGGTACCGCGCCACCCGGACACGGGTTCTATCCAGGAGATCCCGGAATGATAGAATTCCTCGACCACCCATGTCACGAGGCAGGTGGACCCTGGCGGCAGAGTCCTTGGGGTGGCGGGCGTGTTCTTTAAACAGTGCTTGGCGGGTCTGTCGGTCGAGTTCCTCTATCTCTGCCTTTGTCCACTCAACGATGCACAGGGAGTAGAGGATGACTGGAATGGCAAAGGTGTTGATGGCTTTGACCAAGTTCCTGGCGTTCAATTGAGACGAGCATATCAATTGAAGGCGGCGGCCGAACTCAGACTTTGCCGTGGTCTTCAATTCGGTGGCGTGAAAATGTGCTGATTCCGGGACACCAAGGTACCTGTAGGACTCCTCCGCCTGCAGCTTAGCAATGGCGTGACCCTGGAGTGTCTGGAGAGCAGTTATTATTATTATTATTATTATTATTATTATTATTTTTTTTTAAGTGCAAGCCTCTTTTACGGGCAAAAATTAACACAATGTATTAAAATGCAATACAACATACACTGGAGAAGAAATCAGGAAAATAAAATATGAGCTCAAAAATGGAACGAAAAATAGCAAATAGAATCAAAACTCACGATGGAATCAAACTCACGATGGAATCAAACTCATGATGGAAACTACAAAACCCAATGAGTTGGAAAACCAACCACAGAATTAGATATTGGGAATAGAGTCAGACACAACAACGACCGAAATCAGTACACCAAAATATTATTATTATTATTTAAAAATTCGACGAGGAGACAATAATTTTAATATGGCAATAAGTAGGACGAGCTGAAGCGACATGTGGACTACTTTATTAACAATGTAAGCGATGGAGACGATGCAAGAAACAACCTAAAGGGTAAGGAAAAATACATGTAAGAAGAAAAAGAGTGTTGTACGAAAACTTGTTCGAATCATCTTTTTTTTCCATTGCCCTTTTTCTTCTTACATGTATTTTTCCTTACCCTTTAGGTTGTTTCTTGCATCGTCTCCATCGCTTACATTGTTAATAAAGTAGTCCACATGTCGCTTCAGCTCGTCCTACTTATTGCCATATTAAAATTATTATTATTAATATTATTATTATGACGGATAACCCAAAGGCAATGGTACCTAAATCACATGGTACCTAAATCACATCGCCATGTGTTCACATGGCGTGAGCCAGTCAAGTGTCAGTCAGTTCGGGAGGAAGCGGGAGCTCCAACAACAACAATCGTGAACAACTACAAGTCTGCTTGATCACCAAAAAACAATGAAAAAAAGTGTGAGTTGAAGATAGGTTGGGATTTGAACTCACAACTTCATGGTCAGCAGACAGCATCCATAACCACAAGGCCAGAAAGGAAAAGATAAATCATGGGTTTTGATAGAAAAATCGATACTGGCTTCCAAGGCAAATTGCAAACCATGGGAAAAGGCCGGAAACCTGGCCGAAATTCTAACTCCTTAACGGCTGGTCCAATTGTTCCGAAACCTTCACAGAACAATTTGCCGTGCCCTACCCAGCCCTTTTATGTACTTCGTTGTCCAATTTCCCCTTATCTTCATACTTTTTAAGACCAAAACCTGATTGCTAATCTTTTTGAAACAGACTATAGGGAGGATTTGGTGCCGACAAGCACATCTGTGTGGACCAGAGGGTTCGAGTTGGAACGCTGTGCGTGCAAAATAGCATCCATCATCTTTCAATGGGCAGTTGTAGTGTTGATGTTACCTTGAATAAAGGTTGCTGGAGTTATAGTCAGTTTCAAAAAGATTAGCAATCCTGGCGATCGCCCGGGGAGTTTGCCGTCTTACCGTATGAGCGCTCGAGCGCTGCCTGGAAAAACTCACTGTGAACTCGAAGAAATATTCCGCGCGAAAGCATGAAAAATGACAACTCACTGACGTCGGTACTCGAACCTGTTCGTCTGGTTTACAACAAACGAGTTCTTCCTCGTATCGATATGGAGTCAGAGAGGACATGTCGAAAGTGTGGTAAATTTTGACGAGCGAGATGCGTCCCAATTCGTTTCGTGACCAAATAAATTCTTTGAGCTGCCGCGGATGCAATTTACTCTCACAATGTGACGAAAACGGCATCGACACAGACTCATTCCCGAGGCCTTGATGTGGCAAAGCTATCCGTGTGACTTCGACGACATTTCGAGAAAAGCAGACGCCTGTGAAAGCTGATAGAAGACGGCGTTGACTCCTAAATTCAAATAAATTGGCGATCTTCAAATACCAAAATAATTCTCAAACAGAAATCGATCGATCGATATACCGGTGTATTCAACAACACGTAGCTACAGCGCAATGACTTCCATGTTCACTCACACGGTTTCAGTGTTGTGTGTGTTCACAACTTCACATGGCGTGAGCCAGTCAAGTGTCAATCAGTTCGGCAGGAAACGCGAGCTCCAACAACAAGTCGTTTGGCGCAGCCACCTTCTTTGTCTTGTACCAGCGTGATCACCAAAACAATGAAAAATGAAGAAAATGCTTGACTTGAAGATTTGTTGGGATTTGAACTCACGACTTCATGGTCAGCAGACAGCATTCATAACCACAAGGCCAAAAAGGAAGGGATAAATCGTGGGTTTTGATAACAAATCGATACTACTGGCTTCC